TTAGTAGAGACGGGGTCTCGCTCTTGCTCAGGCTGGTCTCGAACTCCTGACCTTGAGCGATCCACCCGCCTCGGCCTCCCAGAGTGGTAGGATTACAGGCGTGAGCCACTGCCCCGGCCTTGGAGTCACTTTTAAAAATGAGCGAGGATGTGATATACCATGAGGGCTGATGGCTGACTCAAAAATGAGGTATATTGTAAACCATTGTAAGTGCACACATGTTAAATGAGGGCCAACACTTCCTCATGAATTGAATGGCTGCATTCTGGTATGTGACTAATACAGATAGTTACTAATCAGCATCTAATATACCTTCTAAAGGATCTGTTAGCCTCTAGCCGATAAGCCAGCCATTGCTTCCAGTTCTCCAGCAGGTGTCACTGTTGGGCTGCTGCTGCTGGCAGGGAAGGAAGGCAGGGAAGAAAAGGTCTCCCTACTGTTTGTGTATGAGGTTGGATCTTATAACACAGCCTGTTTTTGTAGGTGACTGTTGTTCTTAAGTGAGTGGAGTTCACAAAAGGGGACTGCATTTGAAGGGAGAGGGTTTTGTTCTTTGGCCTCACAGCAGGAGATAGGCTAAGGAGGATGTTTTGATTCTTGGTGCTACTGAGATAATTAATAGTATCTGCAAATAGTGATAGTTATTAATAAGCACCCAGTATATATTTCTGTATAGCTCCATGTTGCTGAGTGGTAATAACCAGTACACATTTTGTCTCCTTTTGTCTGTGGGCACTGGAGGGCGAGCTGTCTGTGTAATCTGACACTACCTTACTACTTGAGTAGCAGGTCTTTGCTTCACTACAAGAAACTGCTTTTCTGCAGGATTCAGCAGAAGATCAGGGTATTGCGACTCCTTGCAGTAGGAGTCCCTTGGCCTTTAAAGACTGGTAGTAGGAAAAGGAAAATTGTTTAAATGGCATATTAAAACTGGAGGGAACCCAGAGCTTATTTAGTACAGTGTTTCTCTTTTTTTTTATTCTTTCTTGAGTCAGAATCTCACTCTGTCACCTCGGCTAGCATACAGTGGTGTCATCACAGCTCACTGCAACCTCAAACTCCTGGGCTCAAGTGATCCTCCTGCCTCAGCCTCCTGAGTAGCTGGGACTACAAGCGTGTGACCACACCAAGGCTGGTCTTGAACTCTGGAGCTCCAGCAAT